TAAAATTAAAATTCAAAATTGTATTCAAATTAAACTAAATTTTTTTACTTAAACTAGCAACTTTTCGTTGGTACCGTGATTTTAAATATTTATTTTTTGGTTTTCCATCCGGTATCTGGAGCTTTGTCCCGATTAATCCGAACTCGACCCGCATCGCGCACCTGGAAATGGTGGGTAAGTCTCTCAGCGAAGACTGCTGCATACACAAGGACTCGAACTCGAGATCTTGCTTAAGCTGAAACAAGCCGCTTACCACTTGATCCAACCCCTCGTTGGTACCGTGATTTTAAATATACTCAAGAGTGAAAAGTGACTAAGTGAGAACGGACGGGGAGCGTCCACGTCTAATCGGCGGGCGGGTTTAGGAATCCGTGGACGGAAGTAAAGAGTCCACGTCCATTCGGCCTTCGCGTGTCTAGGAATCGGCTGGCCGGCACCCTTACGTCTTTTGGGGTGTGGAGTTTCGGCGGCACAAAGTCTTCGGTCTAGTTCACATTACATTTTTGGCTCTTCGGCCCCGATGGCTTTTGCGTTTTTTTTCCCCTTAAGGCAAGTATGTGAATTTCACATCATCAAATAAATTAATAATAGTGCTTTATCTATTTAATATTTATATGTATTGTAAATTTAATTTGAGAATTTTTTAAAAATTTAGAACTTATTTTGTTATGAGTTTAATTTAAAATTGAGTTTTTTTTTTTATTATCATACTTCGTGAACTTATTTTATGTTATTAATTTGAATTTTGAAAGTTGAAAGTTGAAACATTTTTATTTTATATTATAACTTTTAATATTTGTTAGTTTAAATTTTAAAAATTATATGCATTTTATTAAATTCAATATTTTAAATTTCTTAAATGATGGTTTTTAAGTTGATCTTATGGTGATTATTTCTAAAAAATAGAGTGAAAGTAATATATAAAAGTAAAATTTAATAAAAACCCCCAAAAAAAGATTTTTTTGACTAGTTAGACTAATTGGTTGAATTGGTTGACCAAACTTGGTGTCGAAAATGGATGGTTCATTGGATTGGGTTTTAAAAAATTATATTTTTGTAGTTATTAAGAATTTAAATATTTATATTGGAGATTTCAAGTTCTAATCTTAGGATGGATAGGGAGGGGTTTGGGAAGAAGAAGAGTATCTTTGGTTACATCACTTATTATTCAATGCATAGAAAAAAAAAAAAGCATTAATTCTTATTTTATGTTAATTTATGGATAATTTATAGTTACAATTCTATGTATGATTGTAAATTTTATAATTATAATATATTATTAAATAAATGTGACGTATTATTAAATAAGTAAATGCATATAATATTATGAATAGATCCTTAAATAAAAATAATTAATTATATAATATCTCATTTAGTTTACAATCATAATATATTATTAAATAAATTT